ATGCGATTATAATACGATTATCGATGCATCTTTTTTTCTATATAGCATTTATATTTTCTCACTGTGTGAGCTCAAGTTTCGAGTTCAAGTTTCAAGTTTATTTGTCATTTGCACAACATATCAGGACATTTATGCATTGAAATGCTTGTGGTGAGGCTGAGCTAATCACTCTACAGAAAGTAAATAAGTAAAAATAAAAATACAAGAAAAACCAACCGAAATATATTATATATACACAAAATATACACAAAATATACACAGAATGTAGAGACAATATACATTTTAAAGTGACTATGTGACTCAGTGTTATTGTTATTTAAAGTGACTTGGTACTTTTAAAGCAAAGTATTTGTAATGATCCATAATGAATTTACTTCCAGTATCTTTTTTAATAAAACAGATGGAAGTGATGTGGCAAGTGAACTAGAAGGCTCTCATTCAGTGCTCTTGTTTGGAGCACGAGAAGCTGCTGCTACTCATCTGCGATAAAATGCACAGTTACGGTGAAATATGATCCAGTGGTGATGGATGTTCACGCAGCACATGTTACAGCTATTCTACCAGTTTTCTTCAGTGATTTTATAACTCGGTTTTGGTCTCGTTGTAGAGACGGGGTGGATCGCTGTGTCAGTAAAGTATCTTTGAGACGGGTCGTGTGCAACATAGCGTGAAAGCCCTGTTTCGCAGTGACTGAGAACCGGCGTGCAGACTGCAGGTCACATAGCAGCGATGTGTTATTCGCATTTATAAGCACTGCAGTTGGTTTCCTGGTATGTTAAATCTGCAACGAGAGACTGTCAAACACTAATAAGTGGTGAGGCTGAAGTCGGCTTCTCTTTCGAATTATCCCGTTCCACCTTAAATGGTGCCGCATTTACATTCGGCGCCTCAGTCAGAATTTAAGGTGGAACGGGTAAATTCGAACAAGGAGCTGGAGAATAAGAACCGACTTCAGCCTCGTAAAACAGTCGAATGTTGAGAGACATTTAACTGATCAACTTCTGAGGAAAAGTTTTCTGGCGGAGATGGGAGGAAAAAGGTTGTAGGTGAAGCTTAAAGCAGAGCAGAGTAAATCTGCGTTTTCGTTTATATTGTTTAGCCTATACTAGGACATTAACACATACTGAGACATACTGGACATTAAATGTTGCGGCTCCCAGGGTGGTTTGATTTTTGCTGAAAGGACAAAACATTTGGGTTGTGACTCCTGATTTAACCTGGCTTTTAATGCAGAGGGAGCCGGTCGGATTTCTCGCTCATCCATGTGTGCTTTTGTTATGTGCCGCCACAGCCTGTCTGGGCGCCGCACTTCCGCACTTCCAAGTTCCTCCTTTTGCGTTCCGTCAACATTACGGTATAAATTAAATATTTAGAAAATCGATTTTTGACGTTTGTGAATCGATTCAGAATCGTTCACGTCCGCATCGCGATGCATCTAAGAATCAATTTTTTCCCGCACCCCTACTGGCTTCTGTGATGGAGATCACCACATTGGCTCAGGAATACTTTGAAAAATCATGATCAATAAACGCCATCCGTCCCTGCATCCCCAAATGCAACCTAAGGCTGTGCTATGCACAGCGGAAGCCATATGCCAACAGCGTCCAGAAACACTGCCGAATTCTCTAGGCTCATCATGTTCATCTGAAATGCACTGATGCACAGTGGAAACGTGCTGTGGTCTGACAAGTCAACCTTTCAGATTATTTCTGGAAGTAATGGACATCGTGTTCTCCAGGCCAAAGAAGAAGCAGACCATCCAGATTGTACCAGCATAAGGTTTAAAAGCCAGGGTCTGTCATGGCATAGGAGGGGTATTATTGGGTAACATGCACATCTATGAAAGCACTATTAACATTAAATACATTCTGGAGCAACATATGGTACTTTTTAGGTGCTGTTTTTTCAGGAACACCCATGCTTATTTCAACATGAGAACAGCAAGCCATACTCTGCACGTGTTACAAAAGCATAGCTGCATGATCTGAGAATGGCCTGAACTGCCTCTCATTGAAGACTCGTTTTTATTGAGCTCAAAACATGAAAACAAAGACCCTGCGTGGTTGCACAGCTAAAGACTTGTAAAATGAAGATATTTTGGCAGAAGAATTACAAAAAAAAATACGCTTTCAAGGATGGATCAGTTTGTGTCTTAAGTTCCCAAACCATGTCAAACAAAATTTGCTAATCATTGATTTCTGTTTTTATTAGCATTTCACATACTGTCCCAACTTTTTGGGAATTGGGGATGTATTTATTGTTACACAGATAAACATATATGTGGGTCAGAGGAATTTACAGTTTTACAGGAATAATAATAATCTGAGTCAGATTACTCAGGGGTTTATAATAAAAGAGAGAGAGGATGTGAATGAGAGTGTTAACATGAGCCTGTGTGTGTGTGAAATGGAGAGAGTGTGTGAGGTAATATCATTGGATGTGAGTAGGTCAGTAGTAAGAAAGAGGGGAACTTCCTACAGACATGATTAATGACTGCTCGCCATACGTCTTTGGAGTGGGCACGGAGCGGTGATCAACCCAGACTGAAGCTTTCCTCAGAGGAGACTAACATGCAGCAGTGACAGCCCAGACATTCAGTCATATTCCTCAGTTATATTCCTACTACAATTCTTTAGTCATATTCCTAGTACGGCCCAGCCCCTTGGTCATATTCCTAGCATGGTCTGGTCCCTCATTTATATTTCTAACATGCCCCCATTGCCCCATAGTAGGAATATTGTCCCCACAGTCATATTCCTACTATGGCCAAGCCCCTCGGCCTGATTCTGTAACCCTGTAACCCTCAGAGGTCAAAGCCAGGATATAGAGTAAATGATTAATTGTGATTTGTAACGAATCTGTAAATGATTTAGTGTGATACAGTTTACAGTGAGGAGGTCAAATGAGTCAGGATGGTGTTCCAGCACCCTATAGGTAACTTGGAAGGGGAAAAATCTCATCTCATCTTCTTAACCTGCTTGCTCCAGCTAGGGTCGCGTTTGCAGTAGAGAAAGCAGAGAAGCCCAGACCACCCTGTCCCCGGAAAACTCCCTCCAGCTCATTCTGGGGGAACCCAAGCTGCTACCAGGCCAACTCAGAGATATAATCCCTCAAGCAGGTCCTGGGATGACCTTGGGCTCTTGTCCCAATCGGCCGTACCTGTTTAACCTCCAACAGGAGGCAGCCAGTGGGCATCCTAATCAAATGCCCGAACCACCTCAACTGGCTCTTCTTAATGTGGAGGAGTAGCGGCTCTACTTTGAGCTTCTCACGGATGACCGAGCTCCATACCCTGTCAAGTAGAGTGTAGCCCACCACCCTGCAGAGAAAGCTCATTTCCATCACTTTTGCCTTATGGCTCAGCTCCCTCTTCACCACTACAGTCTGGTACAGCGACCACATTACTGTTGCCGCCTGTCCCAGACTATGGCCGACCTCATGATCTCTCTTTCCATTATTCATGAACAAGACCCCAAGATACTTAAACTCTTCTACTTGGGGCAGGTCCTTTCCCCTTACCTGGAGGGGTTATATGTCATCCTTTTCCAGTAGAGGACCATGGAAGAAATTCTACCACTTATTTTCTCCAGAGTTAGTTACTGTTGCTACATACAGTCCAGTCATGTTTGTGGAGTCTGACTAATGGTCAGTGATGGCTAGTGGTTGGATAGTGAAAGGGTTACTTTGCAATTTTGCATCCATACCTCATGGGTGGCTACAATACCTTGATAGCTTCAAGTATTAGTCTACATTACTATATAAATCATGAAAAAGTTATTTATCTTCCTTTTATTTAAGATGCTTCTCTGTCTTGGTTGTTTTTGGATTCTTTTTTAAAAATAACTTATTTATCTAATGATTTCGTTTTTATGTCAATGAGAAACTTGAATAATGGCACAAAAAATTATTTTAAAATACATCAGCCTAAATATTAAATTGAATTTGTTTACATTACTGTTTAATCCTGAGTTAAAATTCTTTCAGTTAAAATGAAATTCAGTTAAAAGTCACATGCTATGGAATTCCAAAAACAACAAATGTTAGATAGCAACAGGCTGAACATCTGCTGAATTAAGCATATGACTGAATACAAGAAGTGGTGTTCTAAAAAGAAAGAAAGAAATTGTTTATTAAAGTCGCTAAACAGTGAATAAAACATTTAAATTATTGCATCTATCATTTTTTTCTATTTTTATCATCTTTCATGTTTTATCGATTCTTGCACATAGCACTTTGCCACTATCAGTGGAAGCAGAAAAAGTGTTGGATGGTTGCCTTTGTTAAGTTTGTGCATCATCATCATCATGCTTTGAAAGGTTACCTTTGCTGTCATACTAAGCATTGTATCACGCTGTGACTTTTCTGGGTCTTGCTTTCTTGAGTTTGTTTCCATTTGCCATTCAAAGTTAAGTGTTTGCCACGGATGATTTCTTTTGCCACAAATGATTTCCCCCAGTCATATGGGGGTGGGTAATCATTTTATTAGGATTTGCAACCATAAGATTGTAGTACTGCCGCTACTTGAAAATCTAAGCGATTTTAACTGTGTTGGTAAGATGAGTTCACAAATTTCACCTACAGTGATCTTACCTTTAACGTAACCTGCATCATTTCCAAATTAATTTATCAGATCATGTGAAAATAGAACTAGTTAGCTAGCTAGCTGGCTTGTGTATGGTGTCAGCTAACATGTGGCTTAGTGATTAGCTAAGTGCTCAAGCTAACTGTTTTAAGGTAAGCTATCTATTAACTTACAACCTCATTCCCCGCTCGCTGTCTAAGGTTATACTACTTTCTACATTGCAATTGAATCACAGCTGATAAACAGCAACATGCATTAGGATGAATTTGTTCATGCCCATTAAAGTAGCTTGCGATGACAGTGCTTAGTCATTAAAAGAAAGGGAGGATTAGTGTGTCTGCTTTAATCAGCAGACAGAGAACATGTCCCGCTCAGGCAGAGTGCAAGGAATATCCAGCAAAAAGCTTGTGCACTGACTGACCAGGGGCCGGCTGTTTGGTACGTTAGGCGTAAGGCTCACTTCCTCACCCTCGCCACAGGAAGACAGACCACATGAAAACAGGAAGCTCTCCTACATGCACACATCAAAGAGCTGCTGCGTAGAGGTGAGAGCGGCCTAACTCAAAAGACAAAGGTACGGCCTAACTCAAAGCAGACGGGAGATTTTATGGTTGCTCAGGTTTAATTAGGGGTAAAACTGCAACTCAGTTTTACAAATACTGTTATTCCATTTGTATACTGTGACTTGTTTGTTATTTTACTGCTGCAGACTTTTTATGATAAAAATAATAATGATAATGACGTTCAATGATGTTCAAAACCTACACAAAAGGTTCTTTAGTAAAAGGAACAGTTCTACTTAGGACCATGAGTTCTATATAGAATCAGTTCATGCTTTGTTTTTTGCATGAAATTATGAAATGAAATGGTGATATGATTCTTCAGATTGATAGAGAATGTGTTGTATTGTTATGGCTCAAAATCTTCTTTAAAATGATTCTATAGAGCATCAAAAGGGGTTCTTGTTACAATGTCAAGGTTGTAACAATAGAAAAACCCTTCTTGGTGCTATATAGGACCATTTGCAAAAAGGCATTGTAAATCTTTAAAGGTATAACAAGTGGTTTTACGGACCAACTGTGCACTTTAAATATGTTTTTCCCATGGCAAAGGAATGTATTTGTACCCTTTCATGATCTAATGTTTTAAAACAGAACAATAAAATAAAAAGCCTGGAGTCAAGACAAGGTGTATAGAGCCAATGCAACTTAAAACAAAATGTAACTGCGCTACAATATGGTACAATTATGTTCCCTAACTAAAGGGACTGAAGACGTACTATTGAGGGAACCTCCCCAGTGATGGCTTAGTCTAACATTTTTCAACACCCTTTGCATTTTCTATTGGCAATGTCTCTAATGTACAGTTTAAATGTGCTTTATGGCTTATACTTAGGAATGGAACAACCTGCAGCAGGAAAAGCAAACCAGTCTTTCCTTTTAACTCACTTTTTCCTTTCCAGGGCAAACAAAGAAGGGACTGTCTAAAGACACTAGAAATGTTCTAACATGCCCAAAATGCTGAGCACTCTCCATATCTTATAGATGCTTCTGGTAGTGTTCACGTTGCTTATTCATCATACCAGCAGTCAGATGAAGATAAGATTTAAGAAAATGAGTGGTAAACCATACAGACACACTGTCTGGTCTGTTCAGAAATGACTGCAGGGCTCTGCTGAGGAAAATGTCCTCTTTTTGCTATACTGAGTTGATGGGCATGATTTCTATTGAAAACAGATGATGTGTGTGCAAGTGCGCCATAAGCGATGTGCTCTGAACTAGGACATTATTCCCTCGATCCCATTTAATGACCATGCGGAGCAGCAGGGGGCGGGAGCAGGTTAATTCATTTACGCAAAAGATTGTAGAAGAGTGCTCCTCGCTGCGTGTTGACACATTTCTCCATACACTAAAAAAAAAACATCTTGGTAAGAGCATATTAAATATATAAGCAATCTACATCATATTTCTAATGATGCAAGAATATTAATATTTCTGCAACACAAAAATACGAAAAAATAAGAAACCAGTGTTTATCTTAAGGGGAGAATGGATAAAGCAAGGTGAAAAGCGGGTGTTAAAAGGCCAGACTAACGGCTCTCCGGTGTTTCATAATACAATTTGAAAGTGAGGACATACAACCTCAGTGGGGAAAGGAGAAACAGAAGAAAGATGAGACAAGTGAGGGAGGAAGAAAAAGCGAGAAAAGGGGGCCAAAGAGAGTAGATCCAGGGGCCTTCTTTATCACAGTGTTGGAGAGGGGGGAGGGGTTCGCTGTGCCCCACACCTCTGCCATGTGGGCCTCATAGCCAAACACACACATACACACACCCCACACACCTTTAACGAGCCAGAGAAGCCATGCAGGCACTGACTGCACACGTGATCGCTGCTCGTCAGTGAGAGACATAAAAACACCTCACACACAGGTTTGTTTTTATATATGTATTTATACAACTTTAGGACGTGGGGTCATACATACATCCTATATGTACGAATATATACAGTACTGTGCAAGTAGGAGACCACCCTTCATATATTTAATTTCCAGTCAAAACTGCTATTAAATACAAGTCATTTACTTTTCAGGAGATACTGGATATAAGATAATCCACTTGCATAAGGAAAGAGAAAGTCAAAAGAAAATAAATGAAAAACTGGAGTGAAAAAATGATTAGAAGATAAATAACAACTGTGCAAGATCAGGTAGACCACTCTTACTTCAGATCTGAAAAAGGTGTTTCTGTCTATCCTTCCACTGTGAGAAGACAACACAATGAGTCTAAAAAAGATGTGTAGCTGTCAAGAAGCCATTATTGAGCAAAGAAAAAAGACAAAAAAGAAAATATGCAAATCAAACACAGAAGCTGCTGGTGTTCTCAATGGACTGACCACCCCAGAGTCTAGAACTTTCGAGATGTGAAAAAATATCCCAGCAGATTTTTAGTTGTTGATGCTTTCATGTAATATTCTGTTTAATGTGCATTTTCTGATGCTAAAAAATTAACTGAATGTTGCCATTTTTCCTGCCAATAATATAAATGAAGAGTGGTCTCTGTCTTTTGCACAGTTCTGTATGTAACTACCTTCATGTAATACGATTTTTTTTGCCAACTCTAAATTCAGCCTCAGTAATAAAAAAGAAATGGTTTTCCTTTCTAGAAAAACTTCCAAAAAATGAAATGTGTAGCTTTTGCCAAAAAATCACTTTACAAAGTCAGAACCCTCTTGTTGGTCCTCACATTATAGGTTTCTCTTGTTTTTCTACAAAGATATCTGTCCAGAAAAAAAAAAAAACACTCACACAATCATTAAACACCACATGCCTACTACCTCCTTTTTCTAACTACAAGGAAAAACCAGGTAAAGCAGACTAGCGTAGTGTAGTCAGTAATTTACATGTCTACAGTGTTTACCTAGAAGGAGGAGGGCATCATATTCAGGCCTCTGCATGGGTTGTTGTATATTATTTAACCTATAGCGCCATCTTTAGATAAGACACACTTCTTACTGTCCTTGGAGGCTCTCTGGACATCAGAAAGGCACAAATGGACAGTCTAGAACACTGCTCTGTGCTCTGTGAGATGTACTCATGTTCATTTTATTTCTCTCTCACTCACTCTTGCTCGCTCTCCTCTTCTTTCTCACACACAGCTGATGTCAAACCCATCTGTCTTTCTTTTTGACGGAAGTGGAAAAAATGAGTAAACACAGGGAAGCAGTGGACACAGAAGGGAACTCATTAAGCACTAACATTAACAGAAGCCTTCCAGAAGCTGTCTGGACCCAAGATTTAAACGTGCTGAAAAGTGGCAGGTCAGAGCTGCAGTAATGAGAGGAAACTGAACGGTCAAGCTCACAAAACATGAAACAAGACCATAGATAAAAGGGCCCACAATGGAGCGGCTGTAGACTGTAAGAACACACAGCTACTGTACCGCACAAAGCCGGGGGAGAGAAAGAGACTGGCTGGCACAGGCGCACTGAAAAGGCTCCTAACAAAGGAAGCGCAATCATGAATAAAAATTTGACACTGTAGCTGCTCTGCCTGTTGGCTGCGAGTGCCACACACAGAAATAGCTGCTGAGCCAGTGGGTGTGGTGCCATGGCAACTGGAGCTCGGGTCTGATGTCACAGAGGATCACTATGGCAACCGGCCCAGATTGCCTGTCGCAGCATGAGGTCAGCGTTGCCAGGGAAACGCACCAGCTGAGCAATAAGCTTTTTATTGCGGTGCGAAGGGGGAGAGGCAGGGAAGAAGACGGGGACGGGCTGGAGAGAGAAAGAAAAGACAGGCAGCACCTTCAGCTGCTTAAACACCACATCGTTTGGTCAGGTGCGATACTCTTTTTGGATGACCACAGCATTTTACATGCACGGAGAGGAAAAGTAGAAAAACTAAAATTCTTTCCTTAACCTCTTTAATCCAGGCTTGTTATTCAATTATTAACCTTCATGCTCTTTAATCTACTGTTAACTAATAGTAATTATTCAGTAACTGATGTGAAACATGTTACACAGTTATAACAGTGAGGAATTAAAATGTGGGCCCACATAAAAGTCTACAGGGTTTAAAGTGCAGGCTTATTATTTAGGTTTAAATCATATAGTTCATTATCAAGTAACTACTATTAATAATTCAGTTGCTACTGTGAAGCCAAAATTTCAAGGGGAATTCCACGAATTTCTCAAAATTTCTGCATAATTCAATCAATGATATATATTACAGGACATTTGTAGTGTTTTGATGTGAAATACTGCATTTTAGAGAAAACTACTAATACAACGTGGACGTCACAACGTCTACAATGCAAATAAAGCCCCATTACTAACAATCCAAAACAACTAGAGCATACATGTGTCTGAGTTTTTATAAGTAAGGTTAATGATGATAAAGTACTGGCAAATCTGGGGAAAACAAGTTTTACTATTTTACCTTACAACGACCTACATTTTTAGACTAAACCTTATTCTCAAATCTACCATAAAACAATGTCTCAGGCATCAGGCAGCGTATCTGAAGCCATTTCACATAACACTTTTCTGTGAGGTAGCTCTTAGATGCATTAAACACTTTGGATGTCTGGTTCATTTCACCAGCACTGTAAACAATTCTGAATTGGTCATTTTCTCCAGAAAGGAATTTCATGTTAAAAATATTCAGAATGACTTTGTTTACATCTGAACTATTAATTATGCAGACATTTTGAAAAATCACTTGAACTCCCCTTTACGTTATGTAGTTATGAGTGTGAGGCAATAAAATATGGTTCCTCATATAGGCTTTTGCAGTTTAAGGGGTTAACAATGGCAATGCACACTTTCCTTCTTAAATGCAAATTTTAAACAGCATTTTTGAAATATGTGACAAACATCCTTCTGGAAAAGATAAAACAACATTTACAAAAAGAGAAAGAAGTTGTGCAGGGGGCTGGGAAGTGGATGTGGGGCGCCATCGAGGGCCCTGGAGAGCAAGGGCTCACACACTGCAGACCTGCTGCCTGTATTCATGAATACGCATGCGGCCCAACCCCCTCCGCCTCAATAGACCTTTTCATCGTGCACACACACATTGTACGGGGGCCCATTAAGGATGAATGCACGCCTTAGAAACCCGAGGCAACAAACACACGCTGCCCCTTTCACTCACGACCCAGGCGTGTGGTGGAACGGCCCTGAATCTGCTTCGGCCCACAAATCTGGAGCCCCACCTTCGAGTGCCTTACACAGAAGGACGCCATATACAACATATTGGTGTTTGGCACCAACTAGTGGCAAAAAGAGGCAGGCTCAGTTTGCCGAAGTGACCAGCAGCAGCATATCAGTGGAATAAATATACACCTGATCCGACTACTCTGCTCGTTACCAACCTCTTACTGAGTTCAAGCTGTTGGATGTTGTGTAAAAGCAGGGAATGCACTAAAATGTGCAGGACAGTGGGCTTAATCTATCTGATATTTGTTTAAGCAAGGGAAGTAATATCATTTTGTGCTACTTAAAAGACATTATTCAGCATTTCACATACTGTACTGCACCAAATAAACCAAATAAAAGTCCAAATAAACAGAACTAATTATACTTTGTAATGAAACTTGCAGTTGGTCAGTGTTGTTTAAGTATTGACGTTGGAAAATGTATAACAACAACGGTAAAATATTGCATTGTCCATCTCTAGCTTAAAGGGCATCACGTCATGCCACAAGCTGCACTTCATGCAAAAAAAAATATATGTATATCATAAGTGATCAAATAACTTCCTTGTGCAGCCAGGGTTACAGCTGACACCAAAATCCCTCTTTTATTCCACTAGGAAATATACACGGTTTGTAAACGGCAAGTAACTTGTAAAACTAGTCATAAGAAAATCATGTATTCAAAATCAACTTAAATACAACATAAAAGTTAATTGCACATAAAACGTAAAACATTCAGAGACAAGATCTCGTGAGGTCTGAATAATCCACAAGCCCAGAGCACAACTCCATCTTCTTACGTGCACAAAGGGCTTAATATGATCTAATTATATCGAGACAACACAGATTAATGTAAGAGCTTTAATGGAACCCCCCGATGATCCTTTAAAATGTGCAGGTAGTCAGCAATTTCTGCCTTGATCCACTTAGCTGAGGCATGTTTACTTCCTGAACTGTTGCGCGGCTGGTGCTAAAGTGCGCACGACTGAGTATATGGTGACTCTCAAACAAACGTTTTACGTTCTATCTGGTATTAAAGAGAGAGGAGAAGACAAACATGAATAGAGCTGTTATATCCATGCACACTGAAACAGACAATGATACAATTACTGGTCAATTTGGTTTTTGACCAAAAGTTTGAACTAAAATTTAGCAGTTTGCTGATTTCTCTGCTCTAGCATCCCACCTAATCCTGGTAATTGGCTGATGAGTCGAATCAGGTGAGCTTGAGCAGGAAAAAAATTAAATTAAATTTAATTTAATAAAATTCACTAAAATGAGCAGGAACCCAGCCCTCCAGGACCTGAGTTCCCCACCCCTCCCTTAGAGGGATACTGCAATCACTGACCACAGAAAGCAGTTGCTCTTCAGTACCTATAAAGAACACAATTTCAGCAGAGACAATAGAAGAGCTGTGGGACGAGCCACACACACACACACACACACACACACACACACACACGGTTTCTGAATATTGCAAGCAGCTAAACACAAACAGCCAGAAAAGGTACAAAGTTAACTTGCTTTAAAGTCAACCTGAAATGTTTTTTAATCAGTTCATCTTGCTGATAATATTTAAAAAGATTCATTGTATCATTTAAAAGCCATCAAAATGTAGTGAGGTTGGTCTTGTGTCTAAAATGCCTTTTGATTACATCATCATGCACCAGAGGGCAGGGAAAAATAACATTAATCAATAAAATCAGGTTTCAGCTCCCTCTCCTACCAACTCCACCTATCATCACGTGAAAAAGCCCAGCTGGCTCAGAGACTCTCTGTGACTGTTTTCATGGTATAGAACAAAATGCGTTATGATTTCTCGTTCATGTTGACTTTAAAACAGTGACAATGGGTTGAAACTCACAGGTTAGTTTTAAAAAAGAGAGTTACTTAAAAATGAATTAAATAACACAAAACACACACACACACCACCCAATCAATGAAAAAGACTGCATGCCTTCTCAGATGCAGCTGCATGTGTTCAGACCAACAGCCACAGTCCAAATGATAGGACTCATGTCTGTTGCAATACTTCAGAAAGACATGGATCTCAAGAGTTTGTACAGTATTTAACATATTAACACTTTACAAAGTAGATCTGAACATCTGTGAGGACATAAAACTTGTTTCACACTATTTCAGCCAACTGATCAAATTATCCTTTGATAGACTTAAAAGCACACCTTTTGAATGGTTTGAAATAGAAAAGGCTTTATTTTGCTGTCCTTTCAGAGCTAAGTTACATACACCAATAGATGGGCCATAGCAGTACAGCAAAGTTGTCATCCTTCAGAGAATGGATGGATTTTTCATTTTTCAGTCAGCCTTGATCGCATGAACCATCACTAAAAGACATGTCACCTTTCACATCAACAGCAACAATCAGCATAATAGAGAGAAAAATAATTAAATACGATTTCCATGACAGATCTGAATGTTGCATAGAATTTACAAACATATTTATGTACAGTAGCACACTTCATCTTACTGAAAATGAACATGAGACTCAACAGTGGATGTGTTGACTACACAAACCAGTAAAGAATTTGAACTGACAAATGCATGTGAAGATTAGGGTTATTACCAGAAACATACAGCAGCCATTCAGAGTCTTTCCTGGGTTGGTAAGCACTCTGAAATATAATCAGAAACTGGCACCTTAAGAACATGCTCCTGGTTGCTGCAGGCAGAACCTCCACACTCAACGAAAGTGCTCTCTGCACAGCTTACTTCTTTCCAAGCGACAATCTACAATACAAAAACAATTTCAAAATGTGTTAAAATACTAAAACATAATGTTACCATATTACTTATAAATAGCATTATTAGATTATCAGAAAGATGTCTTTCGCCCTGTTTACAATAGCCATCCACCTGCCCTTTCCAAATGTAGATTCTGCATCTGGATACTAGTCAGATCTCATTCCCCATGCAATGTTTAATTTCTTTTTTAATCAGGCTGGCGCAGCCCCAGAGCAGAGTGGGTGTAGTTGGGTGTATGAAATGTACAGTAATTGCAGTATGTTCAAGGCATCTGAAGTTAAAGATTGTTGAGAGATTGATCCCAGCGATGCCACAGCCATGTGTGTACAAGACAGCATAACCCGGCCTCGCTCTTTCTGGTGGGTAGGATGGCATGTTGGCAACCAATGTGGACATCTACGAGCTGATTAGCCAGAATTGGCAGTTACAGCATTCTCCTCCAAGCAAGGTAAGTTGCCACTGATGTTGCATTAGTGGCTGTCTAGAAAAAAATGCAGTAGAAGCATGTGCTTCACCCTCCCAGCTTGGTAGCACTGAAAAATAGGAAGAGACTTAGCTAGCGGTCTGAACTGGCAATGACTTAACAGAGTGTGGAGAAACTGTGGAGTAAAATAAAAAAAAAAAATGTATAGTGGGGGAATTGTATTCTGACTGATGAATGATTTTTAGCTTTCACATTTACACAAATATGGTAACATTTGACTTATAAATAAATAAATAAATAAATAAATAACTATGGACAACATCCAGACAAAAGATGTATTTAAAGTGTAAACAGGAACTTGGTAACTGGTTGCATTATTAAGTAACACATTAAAATTTAGAAATGAAAAATAGTGATAAGGATAGAAATAAAAGTAGGAGAAACGGTAAAATACAATATCATGAAACTGCAACACACAATATACGCAATAGTTTTTAGAGACTTAATTAGTGGAAACAAACAAAATAGAATCTGTAGTGCCACATACAAAATATTATATAACTACATATATAACTACAATTTTATTACATTCTACAAAGTGCACTGCACTAAATCCAATTAAACTACTTACACTCACTTTGTAATGAAATCTGTATTAAGTCAGGGTTCTTTAAGTGCTGACGAGATCCACAATTTGCTCAGAAAAGCATACTGTGACAAATTTTCACGGTGACAATAAAATATCATCATTGCCCACCCCTAGACTGAAAACTTACTTGTTAAAAGAGTCATCCTGAAGGTTCAGGACTAGACTGTCTGCATTCAGGTAAACTCTGTTCTGGGAGGCTGCAACCTGTAACACACAAAAAAAAAACAAAAACGAAAAAAAAACAAAACAAAACAAAACAAAACAAAAAAACCCATACTGTCAGGTTTTCATAACAGGGCATCAAATCAAAAATCAATATTTACACAGAAGAAAACTTCATAGATTTTCTGTGTAAATTAGCAGATAAAATCTGCTAAATCCTTCAAATTAAAGCATTCAGCTGAAATAGATGAAAACCTAAATCTCTGATTACTGAGGATTGATGACGCACCGTTTTGGCGATGTTCTGAGCGGCTCGGATTCGTCTGAGTTTTAGGTATCCAGGATTCTTCGTAACCGCCTCTCCTAACTACAGAGCAGAAACAGAATTATAGACCACACAACAGGTTACAGAACAGAGTAAATAGCAGAAATTCAAAAATGATGTTTCAATTCACATCTATGGTGTGTAGGAAGATACACTTTGTTTATATACATTTGTGTCCAGACAGGCAGTAAATAATTCATACCATTTTGGCTGCTTGGGCTTCTCCTTCAGCTTGGATGATTTTCTGCTTCTGTTCTTGTTTGGCTTTCTCAACAAAGAACTGAGCTCTCTGAGCCTCCTGCTGGGCTGGAGGAGAACACGACCGCATAGTCATCAATAAGTAAGTATTATTTATACACAGATACTAATCAGATTGTCTATTATGCAGATCAGGCTGTTACATACCAACTTGTTTGGCCTCCACAGCTGCTGTATACTCTTTACTGAAGCTCAACTCTGTGATAGCCACATCGTCCAGAATGATGTTGAAGTCCTTAGCCCGCTCAAACAGCTCTCGACGAATCAGCAAAGAAACCTGCCCACATACACACATCCATAAGAAACTTCTATTAGTATGGCCAACACTTCATGACTATCTGTGAGGATCCACCAACAGTATATATGTAACATTTGGTCATTGAAGATATTTATCATGACAGCTGGGAAAATATGTCTAATTGCAAGGTCTCAGTCTACAATCTAAGGGAATGAACATAGGAGGGAAAATAATGCTGAATATAACTTCTTTGCAATAGCAATCATGCATCAAACCTTGAACATAAGTCAAAAAAAAAAAAACCTAAAAAGATTTATCAAAAAGAACTGAATGCTTACCATATTAAACCCTGAGGTTTGGCTGCTTTTTTATTCTTGTGCTGTTATATTTAATGTTAATAATGTGTTGTTATTACACAATATGACAAATTGTTAACAGGAATGTCCAACAAGGGTGAAATTTCATTTGCAGGCAAAACCTCAGTGCTGATGCTTGCAGTATCATTAATTCAGCACACTACAACAGAAAGTGCTTGTGGGAAACCTATGGATATATCAACGAGCAGCAAACTAACAAAAGCAATAGCAAAGTGAAAAGCTACAGTTCCGCTCAAGAGGCTCCACTTTAACAAGAATACATGAGCTGAACAAGAACAAAATCCTACAGTTGCATAGGAGTTGGAAACACTGTATGACATATATGATAAAAGGGTGTACGATATGACAAAAATATCATATCACAATATTTAGACATTTTCACAATACACTATATGCATCAACATATTTTGACTAGGGGTGGGAATCTCTAGGCACCTTACGATTCGATTCGATTATAAAATGATAATCGATGCATCCTGATCCATCTTTTTTTTCTACACATGATTTCTATTTTCTCACTGTGTGAGGACTTGGTACTTTAAAAGCAAAGTATTTGTAATGATCCACAGTGAATTTACTTTCAATATCTTTTATTAATAAAACAAATGGAAGTGATGCGGTAAGTGAACTGGAAGGCTCTCATTCACTGCTCTTGTTTTGAGCACAGGAGACGCTAAATGCGCTGTTACGGTGAAATAAGATCCAGTGGTGATGGATGTCCACGCAGCACATGTTACAGCTGTCCTACCCGTTTTCTTTAGTGATTTTATAACTTCGGTTTTGGTCTCGTTGTAGAGAGTGGGGGATCACTGTGTCAGTAAAATATCTTCAAGATGGGACGTGTGCGCAAAAGCCCTGTTTCGCAACGAATGAGAACTGGCGTGCAGACTGCAGGTCACATAGCAACGCAGACCCACCGAGCTAGTTGCTAACAAAAAGGCAAAGAGAGAGATTTAAGACGAACATTTGGAGATGAATGGCGCATTTATAAGCACTGCAGTTGGATTCCTGGTACATTACAAACACTAAAAAGTCGGCTTCTCTTTTGAACTTTCCTGGTCCACCTCAGGTGGAACGGGAAAATTCGAACAAGAAGCTGGCGAATGAGAAGCGACTTCAGCCTCGTAAAAGAGTCGAACGTTGAGAGACATTTTACAAGAAACTATTCAACTTTTGAGGAAAAGTGTCCTGCCGGAGATTACATTTACATTTACAACATTTGACAGACTCTCTTATCCAGAGCGACTTACAGTTTGATCATTTTACAAAAGGTAGGCGAAAGTAGTGTTAGGAGTCTCGGTATAGTGTAGGGTGCTTACCCAGGCAGGGATTGAACCCCAGTCTACAGTGTAGAAGGCAGAGGTGTTACCCACTATGGGAGGAAAGCGGTTATAGCTACAGCTTAACGTAGAGCAAAGCAAATCTGCGTTTTCGTTTATATTTTTTAGCCTATACTAGGACATTAACACATACTGAGACATACTGGACATAAAATGTTGTGGTTCCCAAGGTGGTTTGATTTTTGTTGAAAGGACAAAATGTTAACATTTGGGTTGTGACTCCTGACCTAACCTAGCTTTTAATGCAGAGGGTGCCGGTAGGATTTCTCGTTCATCCAGTTGTGTTTTTAGTTATGTGCCGCCACAGACTGTCCAGGCGCTGCACTTCTGCACTTCCAAGTTCCGCCTTTTGCGCTCTGTCAACATTACGCAATAAATTAAATATTTAGAAAACGTCCACATCGCGATGCATCTAAGAATCGATTTTTTGCCCACCCCTAATTTTGACACACATATACAATGCACTAGTAGTGCCACATTTGAAAACTGCCATCAAAAACTCTGGGTACAATGATTTTAATCAACATTTCACATACTGCACTGCACTACATTTAGTTAAACAGGACTAATTATGTGCCCTTTTTAATAAAACATGCTGTTGGTCAGTGTTTTCTTGAGCGCCTATGACATCCACAATACACTCACAAAAGCATATAATCATGAAAAAATTTTAGCATGATAACAAAAAATTTCATCATATTGCCCAACCCTAATATGATATATACACTCATTGGTTGGAACAAGCAGCCACTGTTGCCGTCACTGGATTTCAGTTATGCAAACTGGAAACTGCGTTCATTCCATGGAAATCACATAATGATGTTCACATGATGAAAACAATGTTGCTGAATTACTGAAGATGATAAATACATTCTGAAGAAGCATAATTTGTCCACTCATGTAGCTATATCGAAATGCACTGCTTTTTGCCCAAAATGGAGGAAATCTTTCTTTAGGGTCAACCCTTAGCACAAAAGAAAAATGACAATCACAATTAACCACACAGACTAATGCAATTAATATTAATAATTTACAATCCTAACTCACTCATGTAGTAGCTCAAACTCAAATGTGTGTGTGTGGAACACTGCCGAACCTGAGCTCTTTGCGTGATAAGCTGGGAGGCGTTGAATTTGGCTACCACACTCTTGAGGACCTCATTAACAATGGAGGGGAGCACACGTTCATCATAGTCCTTTCCCAGCTGCTGGTACATGTAAGGGAGGTTCGAGGCCACAGGTCGTGACAACACACGCAGGGCAATGTTCACCATTTGAAGGTCTGACACACACATGAGAAAAATAAGAATAAACATAAAATAAGGAGTTCAGAAATATTTTAGTCCTATGAAACAACACTGTGCCCTGGATCTGGTTTGTATGTGAAGATTGATTTAAATACTACTTTGAGAGATGATCTAGCACAATAGTGCACATAAGGCCCCTGTCCTCCAATAAACTCATCCTAGTAAGTGGGTTTAATTCACAAACCCATTGAGAAATACAAAGATGAGATTTAGTATAGAGGGAATGAATGTGGATGGTGAGCAGCACTTTGTCTGATAAGCGGTCATGAACATGGCCCATGTAAATAACCAGTTTGCATTTCTGATCTAAACTCCAAGCTTATAACAGTGGAGGGACTACTGGATGTCTGTACTGTAAATACAGTAAAAGACTTGAGATTTTTTAGTATAATCTAATAATCAAATGGTAGTCCAGCACAGGATGAGGCTAATGATGATGTCTTCTGAATTGCAACATTTACCTTTACTTCCAGTCAAAGAGGAAATCTTCCGTGGTTTGGCTCTGATATCATATATAATGGGGTATTGAAACCATGGCATCCTATAAGAAAAAGAGAGTTAACAATAAAGAAAATAGATATCTACTACGCTTGAAAGCAGCAAAAGATTAAAGATCAACCCAAAATTTAAACTTGTATGAACAAACGCACTACCTAAAGTGAAGCCCCTCAGCCAGTACGGTGTCCATCTGCATTCCACCAATTCTGTTAAAGATGATTGCCCGCTGACCACCTTCCACTGCAGGAAGAGCATTGTTAGTAAACTAATAGATGTACCAGTTCTGCTCCATTTAAAATGCTAATACGCTTCACTGCCCACACACTCACAAAGAATCTGGGATTATGTAATAGTCTTGTATTAAGTCTTACTAATCTGTTATATTCAGGACCTTAATAGTAGATCTTTAGATGACCTGAGACTGACCTCTGGTCTCACAGATTAGAAGAGAAACAATATCCTCATCTTTAGCTGTGGTTTTACATGTATGTGAGCGTGTTACAGGACTGATGTATGTCCATTAAAAAAGATGATTATATAGGACATTTTTACAAAAGGAAAAAGCGAAGTGCAAAACAATAGCTTGTGCTTCTTCGTTATATGTGTAACTGCATCTCTAAACAGTAAAAGTGCCAGATCTGTGGCAGTACCTGTATATGTGGCTTCTTTGACTCCATAGGCAAGTGCACCAGCACCAATGAGTAACTTCAGTCCCAACCCTGCTCCCCTTGAGCCAGAGGACATGCGACTGGCGATGTCCCTCAACTGCTGAAGGAACCTCTGCATAAGAAAAGTGACAACTGTTACATTCTCAGTTACATGCTTATATCCAGGGCAAATATATAACAGCTGGAACTTAACAGAGAGCTGGGGGTTAATAGCGCCACCTCCTGCATACATGCACACAAAGTTATTCCAAGTGTCCATAAAATTCCCTCTTCTTTCAAGATATTTTCCATATTTAGCTTCTGCACTATCAAAGCTTAATAATGTGGCATTACGGAACCTAGTATGCATATCTTTATTCAATATATTCAGAGAGATTTTAACAATACAAGATTTGGCCACCTGCAAGCCTGTATATGAGGTCAGTACTGACACTGTTACTAATCTGTATTCAATTCTTGAGTAAAAACATATCGATATTTTAATATCACTGACCCATAAAAAAACTTATAAAAACGATTAATAACAGGTTTTACTACATGGCAGAAACCTTAATTTTCTATCTATACACCCTTAAAAAAGATAGTTCTTCAGTAAAGGCAATGGTCCTATTTAGAACAATGAGTTTTATAGTTATAGAACAATTTCATGCTTAAATGGTTCTTTGCATGGTTAAACGATTCTTCAGACTGATGGAGAATGTGTTGTACATGGTTTCATATAGAACCTTTTGGAAATGTGTTCTATATAGCACCAAAAAAGGGTTCTTCTATTGTTACAATGTGAGGATTAGAACAACAGAAGATTTGTTGTGCTATACAGAACCATTTTCAAAAGGACCATACATATATATATATAGAACCATATACAACACATTCTACATCAATCTGAAGAAACACTTCACTAAGCGAAGAACCATTTAAGCATAAAATGGTTCTATATGGAACTCTAAATATAACTATTCCCTTGAAAATCCACCTTTTTTCAGAGTGTAGAAGTAAGAGCCGCTAACCTGTCAGTCAGTAACAGGGCAGTTAACGTGCTTTGCTGGCTGGCTGCAGTAACGTTACAGGCTTGTCCTGCTGAAACACCAGACTTATTTTTAGAGAAATCTTGAGAGAGGACCAGTGAACTATGAATGTCATCTGCAGCTTTATAACATGCCAAATCGCCCTCTAAAATAGTTCATTCACACTAGGAGAGCATGTGTGGTACTGAACTGGGTAGGTTAAGTTACCGCAGCTAATGTAACTAACTTGGCTAGCTAATGTTAGACAAGTTGCAAGAAAAGAGGTACAAATTTAAAGTGCCTCCCGACTTAAAATGCAAAGCTTTCCGTGAAATAAACACAGTAACTTATATGCGGACATCTCTCAAACCAAGATGAAATGAAATAACTGGAGTGTTACTCACGCTCGGCTCTTTATTCGCCATGCTCGCTCTCAGACAGCCAAGGTCGCCGCCGCGGACCAACTTCCGTTCAGACACCAAGGATTGCTGGGATTTGTAGTCTTTTCAGATTTGTTGAATGAGGTTGTAACCAAAGATCTTTAAATTCTTTTATTAAATAATTACGTTGATGGATGATAGTTAATGTTAAGAAAAGAATAGTCGACAACACGATATTCTCTTATTTAACAGATTTCATGAACAAGTTTTCACTGTCACTGAAGGTGCTTGAGTCCATCACAGCTGCAAGTGTCAAAGCACACAGCAATATTTGTGCAGAAGGCTGTTAAAAGTAGGAGATAAGGCAGCGAGCTCAATCAGAGAACCACTGTCTTTTCCCCGAGGCCACTACTTTAAGGCATAATAAACGTAGAAGAAAACTGAATTATTCTTTTCTTTTTTGGGGGGATGAACAATAGGTTTTGGAAGTTTGACAATATTTACATCAAAGTGATTAAGACTTTGATGTAAATATTGTCAAACTTTCAAAACGTATTGTTCATCCCCAAATCCATACAGTATACTGTCCATGGAAATCAAGCTGCAAAAACTGCCCATTCTGTGATGTCACAACATCAAGTCTACAGCAGCAGCAGAGCCCACCTATTTATGTTCAATTGATAATGAGGGTTGTTACTGCACATTTCAGCCCTGACTGCTTTTTGAACCAGGTACAATACGGGGCAGCCCATCATCAGGGCAGCTTACATTTCTTAGACTGAAAGGCACAGTAACAAAAACAGACTGTTTCAGTCACCTACCAGACTTCAGTCATGAAGGGCCACAGCACCACAGAGTAAAGCATTCTGCCTCATTAAACACATTTCCATCTATCAGCTAATTAGCAAGGCCTTTGTGTCAGAAGAGGAACATGCTAATCTCTGGAGGGCTGAGGCCCACAAGGAATGAGTTTACCCCTGTCTAAAATACGAAGAGAGTCTGTAAAATGGTGATGTCAAAATTAACTACATCTGTTTAAATATATAAAACTGAAGAAAATTCAGTTAAATTCAAGCAAAATGTATTTTAAAAGCCTGGAAGGCCAGATTCCGTCACAGTTTGATGATTTTCGTACTCAAGAACACCTGATTTAACTAATTACCAAGTTTAGTTGATGTGCTGGAGCAGGGAAATCACCAAACTGTGCTGAACTCCAGCCCTCAGCTCCCCACCCCTGTTATAGTCTGTCTATTAAAACAGTACAAATGGAGTGTAAAAGTCTAAGTTTTTTGTGTGTAGTAATAAATGAAAGCAATTTTATTGCAGATAGAAATTTATTGCAGATTTCTTTTACTTTTTTAAATGTTCATTAGTCATAAAATTAGCTAACGCAAACACAATCCTAAATTGTTAAAAAAAATTATGGGTAATGTTGTATAAATGGTGACTTTTCTGGTGACAATAATTTGTCACATCTATAGTGACTGGACACTAATAGATATGCTACAGTCTCTCTTTGCTTTTAATGAAGAAGGCCAAGTTGAACAAAAAATAACATAATTTGGCATGGTTAACGTTGTGTGGATGTTATACAATAAAGAAATAATATAACGTATCAAACAGGCCAGGTTCCACTGATTGTTCAAAGAAAAATGTCTGGCCTCTATTTTAAATACATTCCCCATGTGGAAAGCGCTGACTCCAGCTGGTTCTCTTTGTCTAGGTGATGTTCTAGCCTGGAAATCAAGGCTGCAGTCTGAGGTTAAGAGCTTTCCTCTAATAGGGGTGTGACAGTAAATCAATTCTGGTTGATACATCAAAAGGCTACAATGTGATTCTGTTCATCCAATGTACATACATCAGTTAATACAACGAAACTACATAATTAATAGAAACGCTGAAACAAAGTTTAGTGGATTTTAAATGTGTGTGCTATATGTGTTGATCATATCTCTAATGCTTATGTAACTATGGGCAGCTATGTGTTATACTAGTAATAATAAAAAAAAAGTAATAAAAATAAAAACTAAATAAATAGCAATAATAGTAGTCGTATTTTACATTTTGCCATGGAATTGTCTTATGAATTGAATTCATATTGAATCATAACTTAGACTAAGGTTTACACCACTTACAACCTCATGCAGCCTAAAACAGGAACCGTATATTATGCATATTACAGTTTGTGGTGTGAACGTTTGCACATTTTCACTTTAGGACCTCATTTCTGTGGAACTTAAGTCCGACCGGATTACCTCTCTGAGATAAATGACGGAGACCAAATGTCATATCATTTTTTTTAAATAAAAGGCCCAGATACTTTAGTTTAGCCAGAGGCTAAGCATCAATCAGGGAAAATGAAATGGGCCAACTCAGAGAAACTGCTTGAGATACAGTGCTACATAAACTATCATCTTATGGAATAAAGTGGAAAGCTTACCTAACATTAACAATGCTAATGCCACAGGTGTTAGGGACAAGAGAAAGAGGAGCCTATGCACAAAATTTCTGAGCATTCCTTTTGCAGAAACCTATCTGAATGTAAAATGCGCAGCAGAATCAAAGGAAAAAGGCACCACTCAAGGATATCAACATTTTAATTCATAATTACATAATATATTTAAACACTGTCTATCTTACAGTTTTGCTAAAAAAGAAATCAAAAACGACAAACAAAAAACAGGATTTCAGCAACCACAAAAACCAGGAGCAAGTGTTTAAAAACATAAGACAAGGAAACAGTGTACAATGCAGGATGAAACCTGGTAAAAGATAGGAAGGAAAAAAAATGTACAAATGAAATAATTTACATGGTCAGGTTGTGATGGGCATCATTGCTGTTATATACAAGTCTTTATCTGCCATTAGATTGGAGTGACCGTTTGACCTGAAATTTGATTTGCTCAAGTTGTTCCCTTTAGTGCCGCTGTCATGGTGCCACAGAAATGCTCATTATGCAGAGTCTCCTCTGGCCATAAAAATGTGCAGGCATGTGTGTATCCTACTGAACGACAGAATAAAAAAAGAAGAGGCTTCACACCTCAGACGTAGAAAAGTCGTACCCGGGAGGTGCTGACATGAAGATCATCATCGTAGAACTTTGTCTCTATAACAACATTTCCACTGCAAAAGAGAAAAATAAATTATTATAATGTAGAATAGCTCAGTATTATTCAGTATTATTCAGCAGGACATAAATGTGCATTAGGAATATCTTACGTTAACACATTAGCAGGCATCATCTCTGACTCTGGTGCTGCCTCTATCAAAGACTGCCATGTGTTGGTAGAATTGGGTATCACAAAGCCAAATTCAAAGAACCACTCTAAGACAAAGAGAGGAAAACATGTTAAACGATTGCATACAATTACCTAGGAGGGACAGAGAATAAAAAATAAGAAAAAGAAATTAATTATCAAAAATTGGAATCATCATTTAGTAATAAAGATTAACTTAATTTTCATTAAGTGTAATTAAGTGCTATAGCAGGTATGTGTCTAAATATCAAACTATTACTTTTTATTAATTGGATAGTTTCATAATAAATTTGTGTGCAGTATGAGCAAAATAAAATAAAAGAATGTATGAGAAAGAGGGGATCCCAACCTTCTAGACACTGGCCTTTGAAGAGAACCTTTTGCTCCAGACGGAATTTTTCCAATTTTTCTGACGAGGAGAAATTGAGCTCTCTGGAAACAGCTTTACACTTTAAGATCTTCTTGGGAACCCGAGCTAGAAGGAACAAAAGTTGTATATAAATTCTTAAGTGACCAACATGGATCTACACCATAATAAAAAGTGGACTGAACTAACATAGCCCACATGGAATGGCAGTGACCCCGTTTAAAATTCTCAACTCTCCTTTACAATTCAAACCAAAATAAAATTTAAAAATAAAAGGGAAATTACAGAGATGATTTTAATACTGGGATGCTAAGCCCATTAAAAAAAACCTAAAATAATCCTAGTGTTATACCACTGTTACAATTATTATACCATTGTTAAAACATTTTAGTAATATCAGTGGCATAACTGCAGCATGGATAAGCCCATTCTGTGTGAAGCTAAAAGCCTCTAATTGTTTAAGTGAAACCTCAGATGAACTACTGTCCTTAGAAAACAGAGCCAACAGCTTGGACATGAGGAAGTGTCTAAGGAGCGTTCATACCTTCATGTTCCACACCAGGGATGGAGAGATCTTCAGTACCCTGCCAGAGAACCTTCCCCGTTTCTGCATCCCTCAGGTTCATCCAGTTTCTGGAAACAAGTTAAGGCAGCAGAACTCTAAAGGGACAAAAATCTGCCATCTTCAAAGCAAAAGTTTGGCAATTCAAAATCCACTGCAAGAGAGGTATGAAGTACAAACTTTAAAAACATGATACAGCACAATGTTAGAAGTGCTATTTCAAAGCTTTCATTACCATACCAATGGTTAATCTATCACATTAACATCTGACTGTCAGCTTATAACTTGGGTCTATTATTTCCCAAACATGAGGCCACAAGTGAATCCAGACAAGCAAATAATCTCAAGCACCCAAGTAAACGACAGTCTTATTCTACTCTAGTTGAGACCTTATTTAAGTAAAACAATAGCTTGTGATAATCCACTGTGCTCCAAGTCAGTGACATCTGACCTCTTCATCTTCAGACCACCTGTGTCTCTTCCAGCCCTCTCCTCGACATGCACAGGCAGAGTGGTCTGTCAGGACCAGTCCACAACACAAACCCCCACCCTAGTAACAACCCACCAAGGGACCCATAATACTAAGGACTAGCAAATAGTGCTTGGCATAAATGTTTGCGTATCACAGCTCTCTCTTTTTTAAATCAACCATAGGAAATAATGCATTCTAATCACAACCTAATTTAGTCTTACTTATCTGGACATCTTAAAATATTTCAGGTAAAACAGCTTTATCTCCTACATCTCCTAGACATTACTGTAAAGTTGTCTCACAGGAAGCAGCATTTTGGAAGGGGCTTTTACACCCTTCCAGCATTTTCTAGGAAAATTCCTTTCAAACAGGCAATATTGAATTATTACTGAAGATTGCTCTATACATGCTCTATATATATTTTTGTTGGCCAAATCATAAAAAAGCCTAAACTAGACACTGACTAAGTCAGAGTTAAGTCAAAGCACAACCATCCATATGTTAAAATGAAAAACTAATGCTTAACTAGGTCTGCTGCTGATGGACTGGGCCATAGCGCTAGAGATTAGTGGTGACAGGTGTCTTCGGGATCACACCTACCGAGTAAACCAGTGATGCACAGTGTGAGTCGCAGGGGAGACACCCTTTTACTCGCAAACAATGTCACAGTCGTGCTAATTAGTCCCAAGGCTACACTGCTTTCACGGAAGTCACGTGCAATTTTTAAAAGTTATCCACTGTTTCAAATCTGTGCCATTTACAAACCATTGCTAGCAAAAGCATGGGGCATCAGCTCAAAAGACATAAAGAAGACAGCACTGTGTCTCTAATTGTTTAGGGCAAATAGAGACTTTCAGGTGTCCTTTCAGATGTTCTGACCTAAATCAGATCAAATGAAGACATTATGGGTTTAAAAATAGTAGAAAATGGCCAAAGCAAGCAGTGTACTATTCAGCTCTTCCTAAGCCCTTCATATCTATTGTCACAGAATCATGCTGAGATGCACTTTAGATACATCAGGGCCAAAATTTAAGTCTCTAACAAATATACTACACAATGAACTCTATTCCTAGACTATGGAGCTGTATGTGCATGTATATTCTCATGAGCATGTGTGTTGTGGTGCTAAGGGGATGCTACTTTGTACACTGCATTCACTCCTGGGGCTCATAGTTGGAGAATCACAGATACAAAACACTATAATATACCAAACAAACACTTCATCTCACAAATTTGCATTAAATGGCGCAAGTTAGCTGGAACAATAATGTAATAATGGGGATGCAGTGTAGGCTCAAGTTGTGCAGCTGTAACAAAATTAGCTGATGTACATTTTTGGATATACTGAGAATGGTTATTTTCAGTAAGGATGTATGACAACATGAGAATCACATCAGTATCAGAAGATAATTGCTTAACTGTTAATTGGTTATCTGCATCAGACACATGTTTAGATTAGTTTAGATATTTAGATGTTGATGTTTAGTTTTATGATGTATTTATTATATTCTGAAAAAGCAGAACGTTTAAGCGACGCTGGGTTACTTTGCAAAAAAGCCTTGTAAGCCTATCAAAATAAACACTATTGATATTGGCATCGGCAGATATGAACATATGTTTCTTAAAAGGACAGTAAACATAATTTGAGAGTGATAATTTAGAAATGGAAAAAACTGAGCAACAAATTTCGTTTGTGTATTCACAAATGTGTCTGTTTCTCAGAAAATAGGCTAATTCAAACTAAAAGAGCTACGGTATCCAATTGAAACTAATAAGCATTCTTCCTAGAATGACCGTATTAGCCTGAAATTGAGGTTCAGCTACTTTCATTATCAAGTCATAAGCTACACAAATACAACCTTATTCAGCCTTGCTTTCAATATCCTAAAAGAAAGGTAAATATTCAAAAGATTCAAAGCCATTACAGTAATGAGACTTTGAGAAACACCCGGTGCAGGCATGGATGCGAGGAGCATAAGGCAAATCCCTGTCCTTGCAAATGAAGGATTTAAGAATTACCAGCCTGTAAGATACACCCGTACCTTCCCAAAGAAGGTCACATACATAACCTACTGTTACTTATAATGTGAGGAACTTATTCTAAAAAACATAATGCTACATCACAGCTGCTAGTACAGACCCAATGCACCTCATGATCACCTTAAACAAATCCAACCCACCTTTTGTAACGGCTACAGTATGGCAGTAGCGCAGGTGTAATTAGTCTTGTCGGAATTACCGAGCCAATTTTAGGAGCAGTAGGCAATGTTATGTAAACTGAATGGCAGGGACAAACTCGCAGTGGTGATTTCACATGGCTAATGCACTTTGATTCCAAAAAGCAGGGCCCAAAGACATCTAGCAACTTCCTATGGTGTGTTTAGATATGACCTGCCAGACAAACGGGACATAAGACATTTTTGCATAACAAATAAATTGCAGAGTTCCTTTTGCATTATTTCACCAAATACTGGTCCAACTTAGCTGGAACAGCAGTGTGATAATGAGGATGCTAAATACGTTCAGGGCATGAAGCTGTTATAAACCTGATATACATTTTTAAACATTTTATAAAGATTTGCCAAGACAAACAGATAATAAGGTAACTGGATGATTTATGACAGATCTCGAGCACATCTACAACTAGAGCTGGAATCAACTTTATCTCTATTATAGAATACAAGACCAGCTTGTAATATCCCAAGACAAACATAATTTAGTTTGTCTGCTGGGGAAACTTAGCTGGTAATTGTATATAATACTATCAAAATTACAGCTACGGTCAATTTGTGGATCACTGCACATGAAAATGACCACCCAGTAAGCAGTAACCATGCAGTTTTACTTCACAACAGTCATACGATGAGTAAAACCGCTGTAGCTAGTTACTTTAGCAAGACGTACCTGTAGAGTTAGCTGGCAGGCCAGTATGAAGCCGTTACCTAATCTTAACTACCAGTGCACCTGGGGCACCCAACGGTAACGTTAGTTCAGTAGCTAGGTTTTTGCAGCCACTGTGCACCAACTTAAACAAACAAATAAATAAAATATAAAATAAACCCAGAACCATTACGAATGAGTAGCTTTAGAATGAATGGAGTGTTGTAATCTAAATATGATCAGAGGCTTAAATTATAAATAAAAAAACAGAAATAAAACTAGCTAGCTAGCAAGCCAAGAAATGTATACATTATACAGTATACACAGCTAGCTACCTCTATACAACTAATATAAAGCAAAAACTTAATAAATGTATAGCTGTTGCTAGAAGCAAAAAAATATAAGAAATACACAAAACTAGCTGTGGTTTAAAAAAACTTAATAAACAACAAAAGAATATGGTTAGAAGCAGCCAATTAGAAATAAATAATTTAAAAATAGCTAATTAGCTAGTTAGCTATGTTGCTTGCTAACTTTACATGGCTCGCAAATCCTGCTTCACAGGAGCTAACGGGAACGTAGCGCCACAAGCTAGACAACTAGCTAGGTTTTCGGGCGGCACATAACTTAAAAACAAAATGTTTAACTTACCCATATATGTATTAAATATACAACTGAGCTCATGTTTTCTTACTGGAAGCTAAACTGGCGTTGCTGGCCCAAAGTTTAAAGGATACAGTTTAAAGCCCTTCAGGATCTCCTTCGCTCTGTCTTCATCCGAAGACATCGTTACGAAAATTGTCCGCTTCAGTGAATGGAAAAATAAACGCTTAAAAACACAACGCAGTTCACAAAGCAGGTCACTAAAATAATCGGCTACAACGAATTAGCCTGTTATGATGTGAACTATCCACTTGGATAACACACTTTGTGACCGACAGCGCTGCTTTTAATCTGAACAGATTCGCCTCGGCTCCGTCCCCTCCAGCCTACTGTAAATAGATCTTCGGTGGAGATTGATTGACAGCTGATCCGCCCTACCAGCTTTCGCGTCTCTGAAGCACCAAAACAAATGGACCAATCATAGTGGAAAGAGCGCGACTAAGGCGGGGCTTGGTTGGTTGACAAGGGACGCGTCACCGGTGGCAACTAGAAAGGTCCTTGGGATGCAAACTACGGCGGCTCGAGTGGAGCAAACGGCGTTTTACTTTCCACGAGTTCAGTAGAAATGGTTCTCTTTTTATCCTTTGACTGAAAAAGTATCAAGTTTATTAAAAAAAATGTAACCTAGCTACATGTCGGAAGAGCAGTTCTAGATAGTAAACTGGTCATGGTCGGTAAAAAATATTGAAGAAGACAAGATGTTAAGAATTTATCTCTCTGCAAAAGAGCCCACTAACCAACATGTTACTGTACAGAAAACAACATTAAAAAACAGAATCTGTCACACGGTTAAAAATAATTATTCTTATGGTGATTTTATGAAGGAGTCAGGATGTCCAGTGTTATTTTGTTCTTTATAACATCAAATAACTTTCTATTGACCTTCCACTCACTATCACTTGAGCTGTATAGTTTTTCCTATAAGCACTTATTGCTATTTTTCTTGAGGAATTTCAATAAAAACTGCCAGATGAACCATACTTTCAGAATAAATATTTATTATTTATTTAATATTTCTTTATTATGTATTTACTAATGGCTATGGAAAACAACTTCTTGTTCTAAACACATTTTTAAGTGAAAAGTGTCTCTGTTGTGGTCTTTAAATTTGGGAGCCCTTCTCTCAGAATGATTACAGCCCACTCCCAAATGGCACCTTTAGCCCTTCGGTCCTCTTCAAAGTCCACACTTTGGTGACATCAACCACGAGCAGACCAATAGGGCAAGAAAGCTTGAGGGTGCTTGATTCAAACACGTGCATTTGGGACAGACATGTGAATGTGCCACATGGTGTATCGGTCATGCTCTTTTTTTAATGAAATAATTAGCTTATCTATAGTCTCAATTTAGGTCACAAGCTTAATGTAGCTTATTTAAAAGTTAAATGAATAAATAAATGCATTTTCGCTCACATGTGAATATCTTCCTCTCCGCCATGCTGGCCAGACAACTATAAAAAAAACCATCCACTCTGACTGGTACAGGGACACCCTACAAGTCTGCCATTTGAGACTGGACTTAAGAGCAGTACAGGCTCTAGACACATTTTTAACGTTTGTGAATGAAGCCAGCCCAAACGTAGCTTATGTCCAAAGTGTGCAATTAATTTCTTAAAGTGAAGCAAGACTGATGGGGATCAAGTGGGATCTTTGCACTAAGCAAAGGTAGGCAGCCACTTTGGACCTGGATGAGCCAAGGGCCTTTATACTCTAAGTGTTGATGTTAGATTACTTATATATATATTGCACATATGCATATACAAATGTATGTGTATGTGCAGATACGTATATGTGTATGTTTATATACGTATATACATATATTCATGTAAATATACACATATATATATGTCAATAAATGAAAAGATATACAAATGTGTGTGTGTGTGTGTGCATAAAATAAAAATAGCTGTGATTTGTGATTGTAATGAATATTTTCAGTAATTTCAATGCAGCCCCAAACTCCCAAAAACTTTTTCAGTCAGAACAAAGTGCTACACTGGCCATACACAATGCTAGCATTAAGTCTTAGAATGAATAATAGATTAGTATAGATAGCTCCAGTTTTGAGGTAATTATTCAATAAAAGTAATCTATTACAAGTTCCTAATTACTTCCCTCAGACCACATTAATTATAACTTCTTGGAAAAAGTAATCTCACTTACTTAAAGCTGCACTATGTAAAATTTTAGACTGAAAGAAGTAGCATTACTGAATCAGGAGGAAAAAGAACAAACTAAAATATGGTGTGCTTGTGTAGCTGCGAGTCACACTGTAAAGCCAGAAATAGTCATTTGAAAGTCAGAGGACAGATTTGGTGGGAGTTTTTTGGACCATGTCATACGTCTTCCAGTAGTAACGTCACACATGTAGGCTCAAAAAGGAGGTACAGCTCAGTGTTTAGGTCTCAAATACAAAATCAAGTTTTGTCCAAGTTCTTTTTTAATACTTTGAACAAACTCACAAAAGCAGATTCATCCGCTTGTGGGGGTCTTAAGCACAACCAGCGTTATACAATATTCTTCCGTATGTTGCATTCATTACATGTTTACACCCAGGAGGTCTCCATAGTGTTGCTTTAATTTTTAAGTTACTCTTTATAAAATCTCACGATACACAGTCGGACAAAAGGCACTGTGCAGGTACATTTTTCATCCATCAAGGTACAAATAATGCAAGTGTACACTCAAAGGCACAACAATGATTTTAAGGTCCAGCTGTGTCCTTTATTTAAATTTGTCCCAGGAGAAAAGAACATACTTGTACCTTTTCATAACCAAATGTTTTAAAACAGAACAATAAAATAATAAGCCTGGGGACGAGATGGGGAGTGTGGAGTTAGTACAGCTTAAAAATATGTTATATACGGATTATGGTACAATTATGTTCCCTATCTGAAGGTACTGAAGACGTACCACCCCAGTGACAAGAGTGATACCGCCCCAGTGATAGATTCATACCTTTTTTCAGGGAGTGTACTCACAGATGTAGCTTATTTCTTAAAACAAGCAAAATTATTTGCCAGTGTAGAGAGATAATTTCACTTACTAAAATTACTTACAACTAGGAAACAAAAGTCTAGAAGTAGTTAAATAATATTGTAATATTTTTAAAACTGTTCCAAAAGGAGAAATACTAGCTATTTCAACTAGATTTAAGATTATTCCACTTGACATTTTTTGCAGTATAGATAGTGGTGCCACTTGGGACCCCAGAGCCTCAACTAATTTAAAAATGTGTACCTCTTCACTATCTTTCTCTATTTTTGAAATCATGATTGCGATAGTCTTACTGATGGATTCTGGAAGAGCACCATACTTATGTGCCATCTGGGCCTAGGGCCTTTTCCCCTCAATTTGATTGTCTACTGTTTCTCTTCAGAGAAATTATTACCAAGATTGCCCTGGTCTGCCTGATCTAGGGGGAGGCAGCAATTTTCCAAGAAACTCTGCTGAACTTCTGGTTCTACCTCTGTGCTGGAGAAATGTGCTGGAGTTTTTTATAGCGTTATGGGAAAAGGGTACTAAAGGGCCCGTATCCAACATTCTTCTTGAATTTTTTTTCCCTAATATCCTGTCATGATGTTGTGTGGGTTTATTTACTGAATCAATTCCATTCTATGGGCTCTAATGGTTTTAGCCGATGAGAGTAATCCTGCAATTATTGATCATTTTCAATTTTTGATTTAGCTGATTTGCTAGTAATTCAAAGTGCTCTTTGAACTATTTGAACTATGCTATTTTAACAGAGAGTAACTTATTATACCGGAATCACATCATTTATTGTGATTTTCTTCAGAAGTTCATTCTTACTGTTTCCTCCTACAGGTTTTTCATCTGCTTTACACTCCTTCCTCCTGTGGACCCGAGAGGATGTACAAAACTGTGCCCATGCTTTCATTGATTCCAATAACACAAGAGACAGATGCCCAAGTTCACATTTATTGGTTTCTTGTGGCTTTTGCAGAACAGAGACTGTAAACAGATAGGGATCTAGAGAATGTTGTGCACTAGTAGTGTAGAGTTATGGTTCAGGAATTGGCCTGTGGGGTGTATGAGAGGAAGGATCCAACTTATTCACTCAGTCTCTTTTGGATACATAGGGACCATTATGTTTCAGTCCAACCGTATCTGATTTATGGTTGCTTTGAGCATGTTTACACCTGTTTGTCCACCAGGCCAATAACAACTACTAACAGAAACTTCTCTGAATCAAGTGGGCATTTTTCTCCATGTGCAGAACAGCAGGGGGCACGGTCATGTGAGTCTCATTACTTTTCAAGCTAACATTTTTTCTTACATTTAGCTCAATTTCCACAATTAGTGTTCAGTGTAGTGTTTAATCTAAAATAATAATAAAATAATTTAACATTGTAACTAAATACAATTAAGAAATATAAATATTAGATATAAATATAAACATAAAATATAAATTTAAATGTAAAACATAAATGTAAATGTTAAATGTAAACATAAATGTAAATATTATACATTAATGTCGATGGTAAATTGTCACAATCAGAATTAAAATAATTTTTTTTTGCAAGTAAGTGTGTTACAAGAAGTGTGTCTTGGTTACATACCAACATACCAACATGTTACATACTAAGTGCACAGACTGTTAACAAGTATTGAGCTAAGGGACAAATAAAACAAAAACAGAATACACAGAGTAATAATAAAGGGCCAGTGTGAAAGGAGCTAAAGCGAGGTGTACACATGCGGATATGAATATCTATACATACGCAAGGCTGAGTAGACATATAATAACTATCAAGTACAAAATTTTACAGAATTATAGAAATATTTGTAAAAGATTAACATTTATATAGTTGTGCAAATAAGCATTATGTTACAGAAGGAACAATACTGTAATACAATAAATGAGGTTTGTTAGGTTCAATTTAAATTTAAATTTAAAGTTTCCTTGTGGTTAACGGGCACTACAGCTCTGGGGAAAAATGAACCGGAAGAGGTGATGTTCAGGATGAGAGGGGTCAGCTGTAATTCATCACTCTGCTGTTGTAGAAGTGTTGGTGGGCTACACCCAGTTTTTTAGGTGTTTAGCAGCAGGTGGTTGCTGCTGCACCAGGAGACCGCTGCTTGACTTCATTTCTGTAGGCAAACCCATCACCGTTGACTATAAGACCCACCATAGTGGTGTCATGTGCAAACCAAAGGATCTTCACAGCTGGTTCCTTAGAGACATGGTCATTTTGTGTAGAGACTGAAGAGAAAGAGTGAGAGCACACAACCTTATGCTACTCAAGTACTGAGGGTCTGAGGGTCTGACGTATTTTCCAAGCTGCACTTGCTGTCCCCTGTTTCTCGGGA